GAGAGCAGCTGGAGTCCATACAGCATAGCTGGTTAGACTCTTATGTCAGTCCCCATCATGTTAGTAGTAAAAAGGGGCCCCTTTGCCACCCTCCCCTCTTCCCACAGCCAGCGGTCACCTAGCAACCAGGCAAACAGACTCTTACCCGGAAAGTAGCTGCTTAGACGCCATAAATTACTATGTCCTGATTTGATAATGGAAAACAGATTTGCCACGCAGCTCAAGGGCGGTTACTGGCTGCACAGGTTCCTTCTTGTGCGCTGCTGTGTCTCCAAAGCCTCCAGCCCATTTCTAATCCTCTTAGAAGGCAAGATCCTTTCTGTTTTGAGCATTACTTTTTAGAGGCATTCAGAATCCTATTTTCATAAAAGAAAGCTTGGTTGACAATAGGGACCTATAAGAGACATTAATTTATTCAGCAAACATGGTTGGAGTCCTCTCTCAGCCGTGGTGAAGAGAAAGAAAGGATTACAAAGAAAAAGGGTGCTGGCTCTTCCCTAGAACTATCCCAAAGCGTACTGGTAGCATGGGTTTGTTAGATTTGGGTCAGCTAATATTTATTGAATAATACTCTATAATAAGATTTGATAGATGAGTTATTATTTAAAAATAAGACCAAGAAAGAATTCCAAGTTGAGGTCTAAAGACTGACCAAAAGCTTCCATGGCAGTGATCTGGGAGTCATGTCATCTTAAAGATGGTAATTCATCTTTGCCTATCAACTCATAATCCACGTCCCCTTTCCTTGCACCTCTTTATATAACCAGCCTGGTAGCTTTCCAGTGGAAATAGGACCACATTTCATGCTCCTTAAAAACAACTAAGAGCTTTCTTTTTAGGAACTAATGGGTATTAGATACAACACGCAGTCCAAGAAGTTAGGTGTCTTTCTTCGGAATGATTTACCTTATCAGTATAAAGAGGAACAAAGTATGAGCCTTTACCAGTAAAAGCTTCACAAAACCTTATGTGACTCTGCAGAACATTTCTGGGCAGGAAAGACCTTTGCCAAATCCACCTTCATGCAAATGATCCTCTTTTTATATATCCCAGTGGGCAGTCCTCAACCCTCTCTACTTGTTATGACCTCTTCATTCAACATTAGGATTTAGAAATACCTTCCTTCTCACCTGCACAAGCACTATTTGTTCTTAGTCAATTTTTTTTCTACATTAAGATCCAAGCATTCAGTAAATAAGTGTCCAGCTACAGGGTTTTACACATGACCACTGTCCACTTTTGATGACCAAACACTCAAGATATGCCAGTTTTGTTTCAGTTAAGAAATTAAACTTTTATTTCGTGTGATTTTTATAAAGTTAAAATTTAAGTGGTTAGTGTCTACCATGCTGAAAGACAATTTTAACATAATAAAAAATAGAGCTTTAAATATGTGGGGTGGGGGAGAGATAAGACCACTTGTTAAGTTTATACTCATAAGTTTTTCAAGATGAATTTCCCCATGCCCTAACTAAATGTGTGTAAACTGGTTTCTGAACCCCACCCAATCTGCCCACCCTTTCTGGGTGAGGTTCAAGTTTGGTTCCTTCTACATGATGTGGTCACTCTTGACCAATGCCTTGAATTTAAGAGAAGATGCAGTTCACTAGAAAGTGCAGTTAGGTAGAGACTCTGACCTCTGAATGCAGAAATCCTAAGTTGTAGGTACTGTGTGGTGCTGCCATTACCGGTGAAGCAAGTTTGGATGAAATGAAGGACTTGTCTCAGTCTTTGGGTTACACAATGATGAAGTTAAGTTGAATGCTAAAACTTCCTCCATGCTGTTTCTTTTATATTCCTTCTAGTTAGAAAGAATGAAAGAAAAAAATTAGAACTTGCCTTTTGAAACACCTTATTAAATGCCTGAAACACCAAATGTTAAATGGTGTTATTTACAAGAACCATCGTGTCCTCTTGAAAAAGTGCAGGTAGATAGATAATACAAACATAAGTCAAAGGAGAAATGGGGACAGAACAAAACTCAGGCACGATATTTCTAAATCATACAGCTTGAATGTTATCCACTTTCAAAATCAGCTTCATTTAGATTAACAACATGAAACCTACCTCATCTTGTGCACTAAATTTTTATGTATGTAAACCACTCTCTCTCTCTCTTTCTGTTTTTTTGTAAACCACTTTTTCAATATTTCCTTCAGCAGCTTCTCAAGCACCCTTGGGTGGGAAAATAAAAATCACTTTAGTGTGGTAATTTTCCTCCAAAGAAAATCTATCACTAGAAAACGGAAAATAATATAACATAAATATAAAATAAATAAATAATATAAATAGCGTTTCACCTTCCATCATCATAGTGAAAATAACAAGGCAGGGGGAGGAAGCCAGAGAAGCAAGCAAAGCCCATTTCTCCGGTTATAGAACAGTTACTATCAACATTTAGGGAACATTTATTCTGTTCCAGATCCTGTTCTAAGTGCTTGTTCCAGTCCTGGTTGTCCTCATCTTGATTAGGAACAAATCACAAGAACAGGCTAAAGTATATAATGCCAGGCCCTCTTTCAGGGGCTTTCCACTATTCTGTGAGATTGGCACTCTGTGTTGCCTGCCGTTACAGATAAGAAACAGACTCTAGCTCACACCAAGGTAAGAACTCAAGGCTAGTGCTTCCAAGACCCCATTCTTTTTTTTTTTTTAATGAAACACCATGAGATACAATTACAGACTTACACACTTTCGTGATTACGTTTCAGTCATACAATGGTTGGGTACCCATCCCTCCACCAGTGTCCATTCTCCACCACCAATGTTGCCAGTATCCCCCCCCCCCCACCACCACCTCATTCCGCCCCCCCCCCCCTCTGTGGTAGGCACTTTCCCTTTTACTCTCTCTCTCCTTTTGCAAGACCCCATTCTTATCTATATGGATTGCACCTATATTCCCAGGTCTATAATCAAGAATCTGTCCTTATACCTCTCACCAAAGATCATGTTAGAGGATACAGGATCTACCTCCTGCTGTATAATTTCCATTTCCCTAAACAAGAGATTAAAGTTTATGGCCTTGGCAGACATAGAGGAAATGGCCCTTGATCATGAATAATAGAGGCTTTGTCCTTACAACTACAAATGTCTAGCAGCAAAGTGAATGATTCTGACTTTATGCTACTTCCAAATCTCCAGATGATTGGCAGCATTAATTGAGTTGAGCCATAAAGACCCAGATTTGAACACTGACTCTGCCCATCTTATTAGCTGCAGGATTTCAAGCAAGTTGTTCAAGCCTTTCTAAATCTCGATTTCTTTTGCTGTATAATGGGAATTATAACTGCTTTGTAAGATTGTTGTGGCAATCACATGAAACTGTTGAGCAAGTGCCTAGCACTGAGGAATAAATTCTAGTCCAGTTTACTTCTTCTCCAAGAGTTTGCAAGTTTGCACAAGACTGTGCAATCTGGCTTCCTTTAAAAATGATTGGGCTTTTAGATATATAGTGGTAGAGATCATATTTACAGGAAGGAGGGAGCATTGCATCAGGCTGGGTGGAGTAAGGCAACATTATGACAGTGCTATGATGCAGGGACTAGATCATTGTCGCACCATTCCAGATCTGCTGCATTTGAATCTTAAGTTACTAGAACAAACCTTGAAGTAGAAGTGAATGATCTATCTTCATTCTACTTTCTATATCCAGGATTATATAGACGTAATCTAATGCTGGGAATAAAACCAGTATATCTTTGAGGCCAGAGAGATAATACAGTGGGTAAGACACTTGCCTTGCACATGGCTAACCCAGGTTTGATCCCTGGCATGCAGTATGGTCTCTCTCTGATGGGAGGGATCCCTTAGCACAGAGCCAGGAGTAAGCCCTGAGCACAGCTCTAGGTGGCCCCAAACAAATAAGCAAAACAAAACTCCCACAAAACAAACAAAAAACAATACAACCTTGCACTTCTAGAAAAATGTTTCATTGTAATTAGTATCTGTAGTAATAATCCTGATGGGCCAACAAAGTGTTGACTGCGAGGGGAAGTAATGGAACTTTCTTGAATACGTGAATCAGAAAGGCTTATAATCATATTGATGATTTATTAAAATCTGCAGAAACTCTCAGAGTATTTAAAGGAAGCAGATGTTTTCCATAAGCTAATATGGTAGAAGGAAAATTAGAACTTGGAATTCAGGCACTCAAATTTTGGATCTTGATTATATTGTTTTCAAAGGGCTGGAGCGATAGCACAGCGGTAGGGCGTTCGCCTTACAAGCGGCCAACATGGTCGACCTGAGTTCGATTCCTCCGCCCCTTTCGGAGAGCCTGGCAAGCTACTGAGAGTATTCGATATGCCAAACACAGTAACAACAAAGTCTCCAATGGAGACGTTACTGGGCCCGCTCGAGCAAATCGACGATCAATGGGAGGGCCTTTACCTTTACCTTTACCTGGGGCAAATTATTAAATTTTCTGAATTACAAATTTTTATTATTTATTTATTTATATATTTGCTTTTTGGGTCACACTTGTCAATGCTCAGGGATTACTCCTGGCTTTGCACTCAGAAATTACTCCTGGCAGTGCTCAGAGGGACCATATGGGATGCTGGGGATCGAACCCGGGTTGGCTGCATGCAAGGCAAACACCCTACCCGCTGTGCTATCACTCCAGCCCCACAAATTTTCTCTACCTGAAACAACAAATGATAAGTATACTGATTCCCAGAGTTTTGTCATCAATTCTTAAACTCAAAGGTGCAACTTGGGTTTCTTGAGGCCTTGATGAATCACAGGTCTGGGTCCTTGCTCCTAGAGTTCTCCGATCTGTTAGGTCTGGGGTGAAGCTGAGAATTTGCATTTCACAAATGTTCACAGTTAATGATTTCACTGCTGGTTCCAGAACTTTATGCTGAGAAGCACACATTATTAAGATTCGATAACATGAAACTAAGACCACTACAGACCACTGTAGGAAAGATGATGATGACAGCAAAAATAGTTGAAATCATATGCCTCCTTTTCATTTGATTTTTTTTTTTAACTATCAGGTGTGGACAAAAGAAGAAGTTGGTGATTAACAATGGCAACGGAGCCGTGGAGGATAGGAAACCAAGTGGACTCAATGGAGAAGCCAGCAAGTCTCAAGAGATGGTGCACTTGGTGAACAAGGAACCGTCAGAGACTCCAGACCAGTTTATGACAGCCGATGAGACACGGAATCTGCAGAATGTGGATATGAAGATTGGGGTGTAACCTTCACTATAACCTTAGAAACAAATGACAGTCAGACACATTACCATTACAGGGAGCTGGGACACTTCACAGATGCAATGTGCTACTGATTATTTGGGGGATCTTTTTTTAGCATAAATTTTTTACTCCTTTTTGTTTTTTTTTATATTTTCAAGTCAGGTCCATTTTATAAAAACAGCATTGCTTTCTGGAATGAAGGCCCAATTAATAATTGGCAGGAATTTGCAGTTCCAGTTCCCACCTAGAAGCCTCTCACCCTGGGGTGCACTATGGGATGGCTTCTAACTAAAGCCACAGAAACATCTCCCCCTTTCTCATCCTCAACTCTCCTTCCATTTCACCTCCCGAATTCCAACTGCTTGCTAAGAACATTCCTCAGGACTAAAAGCAGTTAGTCCCCGGGATGAAGTTTGAATGAGTGAGTGCGTATTGTCTCTTCAGCAACCTGAGCCCTGAACATCACTTTCCAGTGATGAGGGGTTGGGGTGTACTGATTACACAACCACTTCTACAGACCCCCCTGAAAATTTTTCAGTTGCTTCTGGGAGATACCCAAAGGGTAAAGCTATTTATCTGTAGTAAGCTATTTATCTGTGTTTTTGAAATATAAAACCCTGGAAGATTTTTATAATTATGATATTTCTTGTTGCCTTGTCAGAGGCATACAAGAATTTAAACCCATTCAGAATAAACATCTGTATTTCTTCCACCATAAACCTTTGCGGCTGTGATTCTTCAGTTTCTTAATCAGCAATGGCTGAGTCCTGGTAGGTCATCAGAAAGATGTGTAAAGGTTTCTCCTTGAAAGTTTCAGGTTGCAAAGCCTCTACTGAACCAAATCTCACTGAGGATCAGGAAAGACAGGACTGCTTTCTTTCTAAGACTCAAAAGTCTTTTGTTTCTGAAAAACAGAATTGTGAAAGGAGGAGCTTTGTTGCTTTAATATTTTAATGATCATTTATTCTCTGTCTTCAAAGTCTGTGAAAAGTTATATTATGTTTGTGTGATCTGCCACATACGGGATTTTATTCCAGAGAATTGACAGTGATGTCCAAAAACAGTATGGAAGTGCCTTTTAACATCTTTTAGTAAAAGAAGTCTGTGGTAATTAAAGATTAAAAGTCAGTAACCAACTGATTGGCCAAGGAGAGTGGAGCAGGGAGAGTCCCCGATCAAACAATTCATGGTTCTGTTTGCTTATACTTCAACAACCCAATTGCCTCCTGTTATAGTTTCATTTTCTCAGAATCTTAAAAAAAGTTTACAGGGCTTCCTGCCATTGGAGTCAAATCATTGGATAGGCAGGTATACAGTCAATAAGAGAATAATGGCTTTATGTTCCCATTTGGCAAGTCCTTTATGATCTTTATTCATAACTCCAGAATCCCTCCTTTAGTCATAGAACCTCCAAAGATGATTAGTAGTTATAAGAGATTAATCCATAAAGAAAAGACTCTACTAGAATGAGAACTTCTTTTAGTCTCCCTTAAAGGTCATCTGCTGCCTAAACTGATAATCCTAACTGGCAATTGTAAGACAGAGAGAGAGAGAGAGAGAGAGAGAGAGAGAGAGAGAAGAGAGAAGAGGGAAGAGAGAAAGAGAAAGGAAGGAAGGAAGGAAGGAAGGAAGGAAGGAAGGAAGGAAGGAAGAGAAAGAAAGAGAGAAAGGAAAAAGATGAGAAGGTGAGAAAAAGGCTCCCACATATGTCTGGGATGAGCTTATATAAACCCTTGATAAAGAAGGATTTTAAAGAAGAATGAACACTTTATGCCCTCAGTTCCAATTTCTACGTTCCACTATCCAACCCCACATCCTGCCATGGTCTTTAAATACTTCCTTCCTCTGCTGCCAACATTGCCAGTCAAGTCTATATTCGTCTATCTTGTTTTATTTTCAAGTTGAAAGAAAAAAGAAAATGAACACATGGTCACTCTGTTATTACTATGGTTAGTGTCAAAGTTATCTTCTGTTTTCCAGGAATTTTCTTAGCTCTACAACAGATCCAGATAGACACACTCAGGCCCTTTAACCTAAAAGCAACTAAAAGGAACAATTCACCTTGAGATCAGATTTAATCGAGTTATACCAGGCTCTTCCCATCAGCCAGATTCTCTTTGTGACCAGGACCATGAATATTCTCACAGTTAAGGTGGTTTCCCATCCTTACTAGATAGTCCCAATAAAAATGCTGATATAAATGACTGGTTTTGTTTGGGAATTAATTAATTACTATGTCTTATTTTATAGATGCTGTCTTCTTGCTATATCTCTATGTTCTCAAAATAGGAATGGGGGGTGCAATTATATTACTAGCTTTTTTCTCTTGCAAGAAATGCACTCTAATTTTGCATGAAGTTCAAGGAAAAAGTTGTATCATATCTCATTTGCTGTGTAGCAGAACTCTAGAAGTATAACTTGACTACAGAACATTTCTATCATTTCTTGGGCTAGCTCATTGAACTGAGCCTTGTTTGTAAAAGTAAGGGACCACCAACCTCTTTTTTTTTTTGCAAAGCAATCTGAGAGTCCAAAATGTAATTTTTCTGTGATATTAAATCTTTTGCATCTCTAAATTTGCACTGAGTGAAAAATTAGTCAAAAGACACCTTAATATCACTTTTTTTTATAGATTTTTTCCTGGAAGAATGGACTTTTTTCTGACAGAAAATCTCAAAAAAAATTAATGTGAAATCTTAGTGTCAAAAACAGAGTTCACAGGCAACATTCATTCAATATTGGTACAACAGAGGTGTAAGAGAAAGGAAATCTCAACTTCTGAGTATTGTAAAATGAATGTAAGAATAACATAGTCCATTTGCCTTTAGACATAGCTTTGACCTTTTGTGACTGACATGATTAGTTTTTCAATAATAATTTATTATTTGTGCATGTATAGTAACCACTGTTAGCTTTATTTTCAAAGTGTGCCCTCTGATTTTTACATATTTACTGAAGGACTAGTAATAATAATACAGAATGTATGGATATGTATATTGTCAGTTGAGAGAAGTTATTGGAAAATATTAAAAGGATAAGGGAAATGAACTTGTGTCTCTAATTTGAAGGACAGGAGATTGGAGAAGACAGAACCCAGGTCGTTTGGCCATCTGGATAATTTTAAAGCACAGGGTTAAAGATTTATGGGATAGCTGATGAATCACGGGTTTCCATCCTTGGAAAGTCTTACACTTTCCATGGAACTTGTGTGGTTCACAGCTTTCAAACTATGGTATTGTGAAGTGTGAATTCTTTAAAGACCAAGTACTAATCCTGAACTTCTGTTCAAGAGAGTAGAGTAAACATACCTCTATTCCCTCATGTCTGTCTCTAAAAATAAAGACATTCAATAAAGCCAATGGGGTCAAAGGCAATAGCAGAAGTATAACAGACAGAAGGCCAGAAAGTAAACAGTTAATTGGTAACCTCTGAGCAAAGCTGAAACCTAAGCATGAGGGGGTGAACATTGGGAAGCAACCACATGTATATAGCAGAATTCTGGAGAGACACGGGTTGGCAGCATTCGCTACCTTATTGTGGTATGCAAAAATTGGAAGATAGGTTTAAAGATTGAAAGAAGCAATTAGAACCCCAAATCTCTTTGCCTTTCAAAGTAGCTAATTGACTATTCTTTTCCCAATTTCAGTTTTTAAAAAAAGTAATTTGCTCCCTGGAGAAAGCATAGTCTGGATGTGGGATAGCTCAGAATATACCCTTGACATTAGAAATACTATATTAAAAAGTGCCACCACATGAGAAATGCTGAAACTCTTTCACCTTCTCTCCGAATATGGCTCCCAGAAGATCAAGTATATATCCTCAAGGCAGAAGCTCAGTCTTTCTGGGGAACCGGATAAACCCAAGAGAAAAACCCTAAAGATACTAACATGATTGTTCCCAAAGAGCTTGTCCTGCAAAACATTCTACTGTGAAGATCACATCTCAAGCCCTACTGGCACTCAGGCTTCTTAATTTCCTGTGGTTCTTACGCATGAAAAGCAGAGATAACTCACAGAAGAAAGCCTGTGAGAAAAAAAGATTATTTATAAACTTACAGTGATAAGGAAAGATTAAGTATCTGAAAAGAAACACATGCCAATGTAAAAAGAGTTATGCTCAGAAAACACCTGAAAAAAAAAAAGAAGAAAAAAATCCTTCCAAATTTAAACACAAATTAAATAAATGCAAGCATAATAAAAATGGAGAACCATTTTAGGAAATATAGCTTGCAAATAATAGGAGTTTCAGAAATAGGTAAAGAATGACAAGGAATTCGTTCAAGAAAAAAATATCAAGAAATATTCCCTGAAGTGAGGAAACCTGCATAGTTTGACTAAAAGAACAGTGTCTAGAATAATGGATGAAAATAAATGCATAGTAAAGCATCACTGTCTTAGTGTTGTTCATCGATTGCCTCGAGCAGGCCCCAGTAACATCTCCCTCATCCTAGCCCTGAGATTTTAAAAAATGTCACATTTGAGGTTCTTTCAGGGTAAGGAGAATGAGACCCATAATTGTTACTGGTTTTTGGCATATTGAATATGCCACGGGGAGTTTGCCAGACTCTGACGTGCAGGACGCAGGGAGTAGATCTCCAAGCCTGCTCGGATTGGGACTGGGGCCTCCACCCAGATCCCCCAACTTCCAGTATAGTAAAGCATATCATATAAAAAAAGTCCATGATAACGGGGCAAAAGATGAACCAATAAGCATCTAGAGAGGAAAAATTGATATATACAGGATCAAGCATCAGAATAGAATCAGAATTCTCGACAGCTATACTAGGGGAGAAGCCCGTGGAAGAGTGTCTCCAAAATTCTGAAGAAAGTGTTTCCAAGCCTGAACTCTAATTGAGTTAAACCAAAATTAAGTGTACGGGTATAATGAAGACATTCCGGATACGTGTTGTCTCTAAATCTAGTCAATCATTTTCAGGCAACTCCCAAAGGATGTTCACCATCAAAACAAGGGAGTTACCAAGAAAGGGAAAGTCATGAGATTCAGAAAACCAAGTAGAGGGAATTCCTAAAATGACAATAGAGGGAAATCTGAGGTGGTGACTGTATAGCAGGAACAATTAATCCAAACTGGAGCACTGACTAAAGATGAAACATCAGAAGACTTGAATTTATTGGCTTCTAATTAAAAAGTAACTTGTTTTTTGGTTCTCACAGTTAACTACTGCTGCATTAGAAATCACTCCAAAATGTAACAGCTTAAAACTACAACCACACCTTCTCATGAGTTCATGCATCATCTGGGTGCTTCTATGTGATCTTTCTGGGCAGGACTCATTTGAGTTAACTGAATTTAAGCGTCTTGTGGCTGATCGTCGGGATAGCTAGAATCTGCAGTGGCATCATCTAAGAGGGCTGGGATGACTCCCTTTCACCAGCTCCCTCGTCCAGGCCTGACAGTGTTCCACATGACCGCAGATGTCCCGCCCTTACCTTCTGTCATCCCACGGGACAGTCACAAGAGTAGGCCCACTGTCAAAGAGGGAAATGGATTCAGCCTTGTAACGAGAGGAGCTGTAGAGTTGCTGTGCAAAAGGTAATGGCAATAAAGAGGCCATTGTTCATTGATCGGGACCATTAATGCAATCAGTGCATGACAGTGGTGTTGAAAGACTCTTCTCCTCAAGGGCACCTCTCATGTTTATGCTTAGGACATATTCATGCACCGTTTTGTCCATGTTGGCAGTAACATGAATGTAGAG